AAAAATAAAATCAAAGTTTTAATATTTGTCCTTTTTTTTTTGGGCAATTCTGCACCATCCAAGTAATTTGCTATTGACTTCATTTAAGATTTTGTTTCATTGATAGATCCATAATAAGCACGTCATAGTGGTGAGACCGTACTGCAGGCTGAATTTAATTTATTGTCCACTAAAGGATATATAGATACGTACAGAAGTGGGTGAGCGTGTATTTATATGTGTATATATATATATATCTATATATATATATATGTTTTGGGATTGTATGGATACGAAGCGAGACAATTGAACCCCACTTACAAACTCGAGTTCAATTGGATATGAACATATAAGTTCAATCAATAAATTGTCTTTTTCCAAAATGCACGTGCGTTTTCATCACTTAGCGACTAAGTTTTAGGAGACGTTTGGTTCATGAATCATGTGATTATAACTATTTTCGATTTACGTGTATTTTTTTTGAAAAAAATACTGTAGTAAATTATGAACCATGATTCAAATCGTGATTTGAATCCTCTAACCAAACATCCTCTTAATTTTACTAATAACATATGTGTATATATATATGTGTGTGTGTGTGTGTGTTCGTGTGTGTACATATATCAACAGATTTTTCTCTTCTAACTAATTTGATCGAAAGGATCTTTATGACGTATACATGCTCATTACCCGTGTCACCTTTTTCTTTCTCTTCATGTGTATGTTATGCTTAATAATTAATTAATTAACACGATTTTATCGGGACATATATACACAAGACGTCCATGATTAATTCACGCTAACCACCATAAGCTTGTATTAAATTCCAAATTAACTTCCATTTAGATAGCGTGGTCAAATATATATATGATCATGTCACATTAACAGTGACCGAAATCTGATTAAGGGGCTGTATTTTGTGTCTTTGTGGAACATGAGTAACACATTTATGGCGGCTTGACACTTGATTTGGCGCTATTTAATATTATTCTGTCGTTCAAACCAGCAATTAGAAAGAATAAATGAGATCCTAACCAGGCTTATGATGCTAATCTAGAATCTGTTAGGTGTATCACGAGATCTAAGAAAAGTTAGCAAATAATATTATTGGGGGAAAAGAAGTAAAACGTTTTCCTTCTGGAGTTATACATATATGCAATTGAGTATTGTTTATAAAATGACAATTATGCAATTGATCAGCAGTACTGCTGAATTGTTTCATTGGGCTTGTCCCAAATTACTATTATGACAAATACATGACTGTGTTAATGGGCCTTTTTTTTTCTACGAGATAGACTCATAGATGATTGTGTTTTTCACTTTTTTTTTTCCCTTTCGATATATTAGATTAACTCTTGTTTGTTATATATAAATGTATATATTTCTTTAGTTTTTTTTTTCTGGAAATAAGACTATATTGAAATCCAAAAAAGTCTGCCCTTTTCTAATTGTTAATCATGTAGTTTAACGTAATGTGGTTGGTAATTAGATACCGTTTTAAATACTTAAATTAAACGTGTTTTATAGTCTAATTAACAAAATATAATTTATTAACACAATTGAATCTATCAAATCTCTTAACTATACAATGAGAAGGGGAAAATATCTTTCACGGTTATAATGCTTGGAAATTTGTTCACGACGTTTTAAAGGGTTATTTGTTTTGAGACTTGACAACACTTCTTCTTCTTTTTATGATAATTAGTGTTGCACCATAAAGGTTCCTTTCTTTTTATGATACATGAAAAATAATTCCTTAGTGAACGGAAGGAATGCCATTTTATGAAACTTGGTATTTAGACCCACCATATATGTGGAAGATTTGAGTCTAATTTATATATTAAAGTGTTACAAATGAATAACTAGGTTCTATAACTAGTGCTAAGTCGAATGTACACTATAATTTCCTAGTGAATTAGAGGAATACTATCTTTAAAAAGTTGGTATTAGAATACACCAATTTTTTGGATTTAAACCTAATTTTTATAGACAAAAATGATAGAGGTGAATATATAGACTTTACAAGTGATACTAGCTAATTTACACTATGATTCCCATGTAAATTATGTTAGGTACCATTTTTGAAGGGTGAAGTAGAGAAATACCACTTTTGTAGAGTTGGAATTCAAATATACTATTTTTTTATTTTTTTGAAAATTTTAAGCCTAATTTTAACATCCAACTTAATAACTAGACTTCAAAAGTAGTATACAACCTCATTTACACTTCTTAAAAACTCTAGTTATTTACCCTCACCACTATTATATATTAATTAAGCTCTAGTCTTAAAAAGAAAAAAAGAAAGGGGAGAAATACCACTTAAAAATGCATAGGTTAAGATTTCTATCATTTAATCTTGACTAATAACTTTTTTAGTCAAATAACTACACTAGTAAAAGAGTATTAATCAATAATGAATGGTAAAAAGTCAGACCCACACACTCTTAAGATTAAATTCTGTAATTTTTTCGAAAGGAAAGGGGAAAACCATGGGTGTGTTTAGAATTGGTTTCAAAATGATTTTATTTTTTGTATGAAATTGGAAATGAAAACGTTTTTAATCTCAGATAGAAATCGTTTTTGAAAATGCGTTTAAGTGTTTTATTAAGAGAATGTTTTCAATTTAAGAAAAAACTAAAACTCCGTTTAGTTATATAGGGGTTGTTCTTTTGTCCAAAAAATTCAAAAAAGAGAACTCGAGTTCCAACTTTATTCAAGTTCATGTTATTTTAAGTTTTAACTTTATTCAACTTTACTCAACTTTATTCAAGTTACAACTTCAACTCAAGTTATAACTTAAAAACTACGCTCAAGTTACACTTCAAAAGAACGGGCTCATAATTTTCATCCACTTGCCTAAAAAAATGCATCTATCCAAAGAAATAGAAACAAAAAATGAAAAACAACTTCAAATTGTTTTCATTTTCTAAGTGATTTTACACTAAACTAAAAAATAAAATTGTTTCGGTTTTCTTACATTTTTTCCTCCAAACACGTTTTCCCTCTCAATCTCATCTTTTTGTCTTGAAAAATGTGAAAAACAAAAACTGAGGTTCCGTTTATTTTACCGATTCAAGTTTAGAATTCGAGTTTTGCGGCAATAAAAAGCTTTCAGAAACAGTCACATTTAACTTTTTTATTACAGTAAAAAGCTCTTATATAAAGTCACATCTCAATTTAAATTAAAAATTTGAATCAACGAACTAAACTAGCCCTAAATTGATTCCAAACACGCTGCTATATTTGAACACCGAACTCCCAAAAAGAAAAAGGTGCTATTCTTCTTCTAATTCACCCACATTCTTGTTCTTATTCGGTTCCTCATACTGGCTTCCTTGTAACTGGCCTTATGTTAAAGTTCCACTTCCACTGGGTCTTGGCCTGATATCATTTGTGGACCGTTACGGTTCGGCCCGTTGTCCCTTTTACAACACCTACAACTTGTAGGGGCGGCAATATGGGTCACGACACAACGACACGACTCGAAAATGACACGAATTTTACGGGTTAAGGTTGAGAAAAAAGAGGTTCAGGTCAGAATTGGGTCGACCTGAAATTGACACGAAAAATACGGGTCAATTTCGGGTTAGACCCGCCTAACCCGAACACGACACGAAATTCGTAAAAAACTAAAAAATACATATATTTTTCATTTCATATTTTAAATTTTATTATGAACTTGTGATATCATGATAGTTATACTCAAAATTTTATACTATTATTTATTTAATTTCAATGGATGTTATTGTAATTTAGTGTGTTATGAATTTTAAGTTATTTCTAATATGTACAAAACTAAATAAAAGTATATAATTTTCGTGTCAATTTCAGGTTCACGGGTTAATTTTGTGTCACGGGTTATTTTCAGGTTGTGTTGTGTTAGCTCGTAAAGTAGTTATGTCGTGTTTGTGTTGCAGTTTTTAAAAAATTTCATGTTACAAATTGTGTTCATATTGACTATAAATTTTTAAAAAACGATCAAAATACGATACATGACACAAATTGCCACGGTCTTGGCCTGATATCATTTGTGGACCGTTACGGTTCGGCCCGTTGTCCCTTTTACAACACCTACAACTTGTAGGGGCGGCAATATGGGTCACGACACAACGACACGACTCGAAAATGACACGAATTTTACGGGTTAAGGTTGAGAAAAAAGAGGTTCAGGTCAGAATTGGGTCGACCTGAAATTGACACGAAAAATACGGGTCAATTTCGGGTTAGACCCGCCTAACCCGAACACGACACGAAATTCGTAAAAAACTAAAAAATACATATATTTTTCATTTCATATTTTAAATTTTATTATGAACTTGTGATATCATGATAGTTATACTCAAAATTTTATACTATTATTTATTTAATTTCAATGGATGTTATTGTAATTTAGTGTGTTATGAATTTTAAGTTATTTCTAATATGTACAAAACTAAATAAAAATATATAATTTTCGTGTCAATTTCGGGTTCACGGGTTAATTTTGTGTCACGGGTTATTTTCAGGTTGTGTTGTGTTAGCTCGTAAAGTAGTTGTGTCGTGTTTGTATTGCGGTTTTTAAAAAATTTCATGTTACAAATTGTGTTCATATTAACTATAAATTTTTAAAAAACGATCAAAATATGATACGTGACACGAATTGCCACCCAACCTAAAGGGCATCCTTCGTAACTACTTAGATAAACAAGCAGCATAATCGTAATTCGAGCCATCGTCGTTCCTCTTCGCCCATCGCTGCAAATTGCTCTTCCTTAAAACCCGCGACTTTTGGAGTGTAATGCTTTTCCTTGTCTCGATTACTTTCCTTCCATTCCAAAAAGTCGCTCTCATTTTTCTTCCGTCTTAAAAGTCCTTTCACTTTCCCGCCAAAATTTCCCAGCAGCCAAACAGCAAGAGAAGAGCCAAAAACCCTAGAACTTTTGTCTTTTCACTGTCCAGTACCGGCGGCGTCCGTAATCGGAGGCTTCGATGACCGCGATCGTCACCTCCAGAGACGGTCAGGGG